ATAAAATGACGTCATGCATATATTACCTATCCGCCATCTTGGATCATCAATCTTGAATTTTCAAAAAAAAGTTTTTTTTCCAGGATAAAGCCTAGAATACATTGTAAACAGACTAGAGACGTTCATATGAACCTATTATGTAAAAAGAAATGGGAGTAGTGATGAAAGTTCAAAGAAAATAAGCTGTATTAACCTGATCTAATGATATGGTCCGCCATCTTGGATTGTGGCCAATGACGTAATCAAATTAGCATAAAATTTACATATAATTCTATGAGATGTTATTAATATTAGAAACCATGTGTAACTTGACATAAAACCCATAAAATTCTGTTGTTGAAACGGGAATTATTAAATTTAGCAAAGAATGCCTGTCAGAAACCCGCTGCCATGGCAACAGAAAAATCATAATCTTATCCCACTAATACAGAATTGTTGCCAACAATATTTTAGGACAAGTCACCAAGTTTGGCGGTTCTAGCACTAGCCGTTCAGACGCTATGTGACATCAAATTTGGCGCGGGCACTTTTAGCCCCCCCCCCGGTCTAGATAGGGTTAAAATGTGTATATGGATGATTTGAGTGTTAGCCTGAACAATGCCAAGGTGGGCTGCTATGTAGGTGGGTCCATTACCAATCACCTCTTTTATGCTGATGACATATGTCTGATTTGCCCTAGCATTCAATCTCTACAGAGATTGGTAGGGAATTGTGAAGTGGTTGGCCATGGTAGTGACATATTTTTTAATACTAATAAGACTTTCTGTATGTTAACGTTTGCCACTTCAGCTTCCATTGTCATTGCCGTCTATATGGTACCAACCTAAATATGTAAACTTCTTTGTCTACTTGGGTATACATTTAGATACCACATTGAGCGACGATGATTGTGTACTTGCTCTGCTGAAGAGTCTTTATAGCCGTGCAAACAGTATCAATCGCAAATTTTTCTGCTGCTCTCCGTCCGTTAAGAGACACCTGTTTATGACGTATTGCACCCAGTTATATGGCGCCCAGTTATGGAGCTCTGTTAGCTTAGGTGTTCTTAAAATAATTGCTTTAGAATTATTATAAATTCACTTCGCGATGTAGTGCTAGTGGAATGTTTGTGAATCACTATACTGACACATTTGAAACTAGGCGGAGGAGGATTTGTTACTCTTTCTCAAAACGATTACATTACTTTCATAACGCAATCATTAATCACTTAGTAATATCTGATGCCTTTTACAGAAACTCTTTTTCCTAACGACTTACAATTCATTATGCATCAAGGTTTTTTTTCTGTATTATTTGTATGTCTCTAGAGTTTCGTATTTTTTTAATGATGTATTTTTTAAAAGTTTTTTTTATCTGAAATAAAGAAGGAATGAATGAATGAATATTTCTTTATGTCTATATTTTGTTTTGATAAAGGGTTAATGCCCCGCCTAGTCCTCGGTGTATACGGTTGGTCTGATGCTTTGCCTTCAGATGATATTCTTGTGATGATGATATATGACTCTTATACGATGTTAAATCTTATTTTTTTAATCTCTTATCACATTTCCTAAAATTTTAATTTAGTATCATATTGCCATCAGGTTTCTCACAGTAACCAATCTGCTATCTTGTAGTAACTATAGACTCCAAAAATGGGCATAAGGCTAAAAGTACGCTAGTAGTTCTGCTTCAGAATATTACGTGTCATGTCTTTTACACTATCTAACCCCAAACTTCCGGGTTAGGTATCTTTTGAAATATTTACATGGTTTGGCATAACGACGTCGATATTTGCTTGCCCCCTTTTTTTCCAGTATTTTAACAAGTTTGCTTAAGTTTCTCCCCTTTTTGTGATCCAATTTAATTTTTCGCCTCATAAATGTGAAAAATGACAGGAAATTAACAAGGCACAATATCTAACAGTTTGGGCCATGGATTGTTCAGCCTAGAGCTGATTAGGACATTTCGGCCCTGGACCAAAGACTTTCCGAAAGGAACAAGAACACTCCACCAGAGCCGCGGTATGTACAGTGTTATATGCCATACTATAGACTTGGAAACAATTCACCATAAAATATACCTTTAACCCTATCTAGACCGGGCTTTTTTGGGCTTGGTGGGACGGGGGGTCTCATTTGCCCCCCCCCTCAGAACTCGAGAACGGTATGTTGTATGACCACCAAATTTTAGAGGATGGTGTACTAATAAAAATGTATCATATCTGCAATTGTTATGTGGTTATGACGTAATATGACGTCATAAATGTGATTTTATTGCCCTAAACCGTCTAGATAGGTTATTCCCTGAAAACTAAATGGTATACAACGTAACTTTACCAAAAGTATTTATGACAGAATATTAGGGTGTACAAAGTCTTATGTTGCCCATAGCAGAGGTCAGAGGTCATGAAATGGAAGATGGTGGTCTTTTTCTTGGCTGGGGAGTAAGCCCTCCTTTTTTATATTATTCAGCAAGCGATTGAAGACAACTTTCCTTTTTCTTATGTCCTAAGTTATTTGGTTTGTTCTGAACAAGAGTTTAGTATCAAATTTTAGTAGAGACAATCATTTTTAGTAACGTTTTTGTATCTCGCGTGGGGCCACCGCCATAGTGGGGAGGGCACACCGAGTTACGTAGGAGGCATCACCAGGCATACTCGGAAGTCTCAGGTCGTATACATGTTGCTAGTTATCTACGAGTGTAATATATTGACTGTGTAACCACCTTATTGTTGTCAGGAGTCATTTTTGTATAGTTTATAACGTATTTGTACAACGATTCATAGGATTAATTGTATTTAGACTTCCCTTGTGTCCATGTGTAAAATGACACTTTTGGGCTTAGCTAGAGACCACATGCTACTCTTAGCAACTATCATAGTAGCCCTTCTGCCAAATGTTAGTCTTGCACAACCAACCCAGCGGACCCCGGATCGTCTGACTTCATGGCAGTTAGCGGCGGACCAACCAGCGTCCCTGGGGATGTGTGGGGCTTATGCGGTGAACAGTATCCAGCTGTCAACGAAGCCCAACTCTGAGTCAAGGAGATCTGCAACCAGAGGTACCACGGGCTCTTCATATGCACTACTAGCTACAATTACTTTGTTACTGGCTGGTGACATCCAGACTAATCCTGGTCCCAATATAAGCCTACCAAGTAAAGGATTACACATTGCACATGTCAACATAAACAGTCTACGGTACAAAGTGCAAGAGATTTACAACTTGTTACGAACGAATAACTTGCATGTTATTGCCATATCTGAAACACATTTAGACAATACTATTTATGACGGTGCCATAGATGTTGGTAACTATTCCATATTAAGGTATGACCGTAATAGCAAAGGTGGAGGTGTTGCATTGTACATAAATAACAACATCCCCCACAGAAGAAGACTTGATCTTGAAACCAATGACTTAGAAATTGTGTGGGCTGAAGTTCACCTTCCTTATGTCAAACCCATCCTGGTTGGATGCCTGTATAGAGCACCCAGTGCTAAGATTGAATACCTCAACAAAATAACACTTTCACTAGACAAAGCAACCGAAAATGATCAGGAAGTTATTATATTAGGTGACTTCAACATCGACTGGCTAAGTAGTACCTGCCCTCTCAAAGAAAGACTAGAATCAGAGTTGTTATCCTTGAACCTAACACAGATGATGGCAGATGCAACCAGGATTGGTAAAACAGCCAATGGTCATGTAACGTCTTCTTGTATTGACTTGATTTTCACAAACAGACCAGACAAATTCACCCAATCACACTCTGTTCCAGTAGGGTTTACTGATCACAACCTAGTACACATAACACGCAAATCCAAACTACCAAAAATACAGGCCTCAATCAAACTAAAACGCTCATACAAGAGGTTTGATCAAGATGTTTTCCTCCAAGATATTGCACAATCTCCCTGGGACTTGGTACTAAATAGCTATAATGTGGAAGATGCTCTCAACATATTTATGACCCTCTTCACAAGCGTAACCAACCGTCATGCCCCGGTCCGTAATACCACCTTTAGGTCATCGCCAGCCCAGTGGGTAGACGAGGACCTACGACTTCTTATGGATTTGCGGGACCAGGCTAAATTTGAAGCACACACTTCTGGCTTGCCCTCAGATTATGAGAGGTACAAACGCCTAAGGAATGACACTGTAAGAGAAAACAGGAAGAAAAAGAAGGCCTTTTATAAAGAACAGTTAGAGTCACATAGTAGAGACAGTAACACCAAACAGCTTTGGAATGTAATAAATGGCATGTTGGGTAGGAAGACAGGTAAAACACCAAACTTCATAGAATCTGATGGCCGGATATGGACTAAACCAAGCGACATTGCAAAGTATTTCAATGATTATTTCACTAACAAGGTCAATGGTCTAACACAAGATGGACATCCAAACATAGAGGAAGCTATTAAACCTGTTAAGGATATAATGTCATCAAGGGATTGCACCTTTCTCCTTTCAACAGGTCACAGAGAGACAGTTATGTGAAATACTCAAAGCACTGCCACAGACCAAAACAACAGGATATGATAACATAGACAACACACTACTCAGTCTCTGTGCAGATCACATAGCCAGACCTCTTTGCCACATAGTCAACTGTTCCTAAAGACAAGGACTGTTTCCCTCACAATGGAAAAAGGCCAAAGTCATTCCTCTGATAAAGAATAAGTCTGCTGCACTGAATGGACCCAACAGTAGACCCATAAGCCTGCTCCCAGCCATAAGCAAAGTAGTTGAGAGGATAGTTCAAAAACAAATTCAAGATTACCTTCTCTTCAATAACATCATATCTGATTGCCAACATGCTTACAAGAAACACCACTCTACATCTAGTGCCTTGATAGAAATGACCGACAATTGGCTAGCAGAAGTTGATAAAGGTAACATGGTAGCTGCGGTCCTACTCGACTTTAGCGCAGCATTCGATATTGTCGATCACGACATTTTACTGGCCAAGCTAGAAGGCTACGGTTTTAACACTCTTGCTGTCAGCTGGATTAGTAGCTATCTGAGGGATAGGGAACAAGCGGTGTTCATTAATGGGGACTTCTCAACTTACAACAAAACCAAGTGTGGAGTTCCCCAGGGCAGCTGCTTGGGACCCTTGCTATTTTGCCTTTACACAAACGACCTGGCCACCATAACTGAGAAGGCTAACTTAGTCATGTATGCAGATGACACCACACCATTTGTCGCCGCCCCTAGTGTAGCAGAAATCAAAAAAGTCCTACAACCTGAACTCACACGTATTTGGAGATGGGTAGAAACCAACAGACTGGTCCTTAATGTGGGGAAAACTAAATCTATCCTCATCGGAAGCCACCATAAACTGAAACAAAAACCTGAATTAAACCTCAGCGTGGCAGGCAAACATATCACTCAGGTGTGTCATGCAGACCTACTGGGGTTTACCGTTGACCAGCACCTGTCCTGGGGCCAGCATGTTAGGAAGGTTAAAGAATAAAAATGGCAAGCACTATAGCATCAACAAGGAAATATAAAGACTACTTCCCAGTGATCTATTAAAACTGTCATCCAATCCCTTGTTCTATCCCACCTAGATTACTGTTCTACAATACTCTCCTCCACAACACAGACACAGCTAGACAAACTACAGAGTATGCAAAACCGAGCAGCTAGGCTTGCAGCGAACTCAACACAACTCACTAGTTCTGACGTTCTACACTCTAGGCTCAAGTGGCAATCTGTCAAGGAAAGAATGTACACCACCACCTTAAGTGCCTTCCACAAACTTGTCAAAGTCAAACAACCAAAGAGCACATATGACAGAGTTAGTACCACTCATATCTCACACCAACACAACACCAGATTGTCACACAGAGGAGGCTACACACTACCCAAACCCAGAACCAAAGCCCTGACTAGATCATTTCTTTACAGATGCACTAAAGCGTATAACACACTACCTAGTAACTTAATCACAACCAACTGTGCTGTATTCAAAACAAGAATAAGAGATTGGGCTATGACTCAAAGCAAATCCTCACCATTGAGCCTATGGTGGTAACAAGCATAAGCTAAGCCTGATCTCTTATTGTATAGAATGTTTTATTTGTATTTTGTATATTATTTTGTCTCTGCTGCTACCTTTCAGTTATTTAAATGGCTGATCAATTTGTTATATTTATCTTTTCTTTGGAATCATGATCAGTTAGACATTATGTTCTATTCAGTTATTTAAGTTATTTATACCCTTGTTAATTTTGTTGGCACCTTTGTTGATTACATACAACTCTGAATTATGTTCAGATTATTCTGTGCTTTTTTTTAGGTCGACCTCTGACCTCTCCTATTGATTTGAATTTACTCTATTGATTTGAAGTTACTTTATTATTTGTAATCATCATTATGTACAAAGTTTTGTTATCTATGTTTTATTTTATTGACCCCAGGAAGAATAGTGATTTTAAGCACTAATGGGGATCGGAATAAACAAACAAACAAACAAACAAACACCGGTGACGTCATAAGATGACGTCAAGCATATTTAAGCTATCCGCCATTTTGAATAATCAATCGTGAATTTTCAAAAATAGTTTTTTGCTTATATAGGCTATGTCTTAAACATTAAGTATGGTTATATATGACATTGTCATCGTTAGTAGCCTATTCGGGGAAAATGCCCTTTCCAAAAAAAGAGGTCCGACGCCATTCCCTGCAGTGTTATCTGCTGCAAAACTTCCAAAACAGGAATATAACCTAAAGAGTATCATATGTGCTTGCAATGCAAATGAGGTAGAATACACCTTTGATTAAATATTTTTTACCTGTTTCTTTTTTTCACGAGGTGGCGGGACGGCTAAAAATTTGTACGGGAATGAGTAGAAGTACTCGTACACGGGTAAGTCGAGTCAAATGTTTCGAAATATCCGTAAATAATTTCATCAGGTTGGTAAACGACTGAATAGCAAAGTTCTTTCTATCACAACCATTTATTTTTCAAGCCAGCGTTTCGATAACCTTCTGTCATCTTCATCAGGGCAATACTGACTGGTTTACTGTGCACTGCGTCAAGGCGTCGTGCAAACAGAGGAGAACAGGCTGTGGAAAAATGTGCAATGATACTGCATAGTAATTAATGTTAATCCAATTTCTGAAAGGAAACTGTCTGAAACTACATACAAAGTTACGGCTCTAACACCTAAAGTGGAGCATATTGGGGCCGGAAACGTCCGCATATTTGGAATTCCCGGATGTGTGTACGGGAGTTTCCAGCCCGGAAACTCGGGACTTCGTGCCGTCTAATAAATTATGATAATAACATATAACGTTTGTATGTAAAATCTTTTAGTACAAATGTTTCCCTAGTATGATAGTTAGCATCTTACTCTACCTTGTAACATTTCGCATCTTTGACCATGTAGAGCAGTATTTTAACAGTTTGATTAACCTATGCAACTAAAACTAACCAGGTCTAGATCTAAAGCAAGAATAATTACTCATAATAAAGGGGGTGTGAATAATGTTTTATTAAGGCATAAAGATAATTATGTAGAAAATGTTAATTTTATTTACTCACCAGGAAATCCGCGGATTTCATAGTAATATCCTGGGTCTGGTTTCTGAATAATGCACCTGTGTGTCTTATTCCCGAGAGCTAGGTAAGTTGTTGGACTTAACCGATCCTGGATTCCCACACCTACCTGCAGTAATAAGATCAAGCATCTTAGGTCTTTCAAATAATAGATGTGATAATCGTAAATTGATAAAGCGAATATTAGGCATGTTAAACACCGTATTGATTCGTATAACAGGAACACCTGCAGTGTATTAACCCTACCTAGACCGGGCTTTTTTTGACATGGGGGACC